CGTCTGTATTCTGGGGCCAGGCTGTGCTGTGGGGATGTCCGTACGTCCCTGCAGCAGGAGGCACTGTGAGCCAGGGAATAGATGGGAACTCAAAATCCCGGGAAAAGGCAAGCCAGCTGTGCCTCTGCGCCTCTGCTGAGCCTTTCCCTGCCTGGCCCTGCCTGCCAGTCCGGGTAGTGGGAACGTGGGGATGGCGCCTGCCGGGGCTGCGGGGTTTTGCTTGCGATGGTGCCGTGGACTCTTTCTTTTTCACCGCCTGTATGAACTGTTGTGTTACAGTGTATTTCAACACGGCAGGGTGCGCTCCTGCTACACGGCAGGTTGCTCGGAGCCTCTGGGCATGAAATCCCGCCTGATCTCCGACCAGCAGATCACAGCCTCCAGTGTCTTCAAGACCTGGGGCATCGACGCCTTTACCTGGCACCCCCATTACGCTCGCCTGGACAAGACGGGCAAAACCAACGCCTGGACCGCACTCCACAATGGCCAGTCCGAGTGGCTGCAGGTGGGTCTCTCTGCTCTCCCTCTGTAACCTCATTTATCCTCCCCAGCTCCTCCAGCTGTGTCTGGGGCCACCTCCTGTGCCTGGGGCTGCCTCCTGTGCCAGGGCGGCTGGAAGCAGGACGGGCACGGTGGGAGAGGCCGGGCAGAGCCGCAAGGATGGTGCTGCTGGAGCGTTGTCGTGGAGCATGTAGCCCAGCGGTGCTCTCCCCAAGCTGGGATTGCAGGGGCAGGTTGGGATGGGGCCGCAGCCACCGGTTTTAACAGTGATGCTGGAGCACTGGGTCAGAAACATCAGTGCCCGTAGGGACAGGGACAAGGACAGGGTGGTGCTCTGCATCATCCCCTTGGGAAGCACCATCTCAGCCTGAAGTGACCATCCCACAACGCTGCCCGGAACACCGTGTTTCTGTTTTGCAGGAAAAAATTCAGGTTTGCTTTTCTCTTCCCAGTCTGGAATGGGAACAAATAGTTTTGAAATTTCCTTCTCAGTTTCCTTTCCTCCCCTGTTTTTATACTTTTCACATGATTTCATGACATAATGGGACAAAGCAATTTAGATATTTGTCCCGCTTTTTATTCGGGAAATGATTAAAAGCAGCTGCTCCATGGCCCTAAATAAAATAGCTTATCAAGACGTCTGCTCATGGTGTTGGGATGGCACGCTGAGTTGGGCCATCACACCGTAGGCTGCCTGTTTGTGTACATGTATATAGATTTACACATATACTCATATATATACACATATATGTGTATACGTATAGCTAGTACTGCCCTCAACGAGCATGAAATAGGAACTAAATTAAGGAGCCTTTCAGCTCATTTGCTGGGTTACTCTGCAGCGTGCCAGCAGCACTAGCGCAGTGTGGCAGAGTAAAGAGAATAGAAAGCATCTCAGTTAGAACCCAAATGTCAGACTGCGCTGAACTGCATATTTTCTCAGCAAGAATCGCTTTCCAGTGGAAATGCATTTCCTCTGGGAATCCTTTATTTTTTTTGAATTGAGATTTTTTGCTGTCATTCCCACATTGACCTTTTCAGCAAAAAATGTCGAGGTGGCAGCGGTGGGGAAGGGAGCTGAGATGGTGGGGTTTGTATCCTGCTTTGGGTTGCTTTGAGGGATGCTGCGAGTGTTAAAGGGTCAAATACTTCACAGTAGTGTTTTATTAGTCGCTCTGGCCTTGGGGTGGGGTAGAGTGGTGTTTTCTCTGTTCTTGACCCCTGAGGGCCAGCACGTCCCGGCTGCCTCCGGGACACGCAGGATGCTCTGGGGTGGGAGCACTGCTCCTGCGAGGAGCCTCAACGAGCCTTGTCTTCTTGCCAGATCGACCTCCGGGACCAGAAGAAGGTGACGGGCATCATCACGCAAGGAGCCCGTGACTTCGGGCACATCCAATACGTGGCAGCCTACAAGGTGGCCTACAGTGACAACGGCACGTCCTGGACCCTCTACCGGGATGGCCAGACAAACAGCACCAAGGTGTGTGGGGCAGGGCAAGGCGGGCAGTGACTTTCCAGGGCTCCAGGATGCTGCTGCGGGGAGGGATGGGATGGTGGCAGAGGTCCCGGCGGTGCTGACGCCCACCTTTCCCCCCGCTAGATCTTCCACGGTAACAGTGACAACTACTCACACAAGAAGAACGTGTTCGACGTGCCCTTCTACGCCCGCTTCGTCCGCATCCTGCCCGTGGCCTGGCACAACCGCATCACCCTGCGCGTGGAGCTGCTGGGCTGCGACGAGTAGGCGCCCGGGGAGGA